AGCAACACGATTGAACACCCTTTGTAGCCCATTGATAGCACCATACGAACTATAGTTTGTACGACGAAAAGGTATCCTCAGCATTGCGTTGTTACGGAGTGCTCGTGGTTGAATGTTAAGGTCGATTTGTTGTAGAATAGAAGGACAATCGATTCTGCCCTGTAGAATGTCTGCCACAAACAGGGCCTTTGTCGTATCTCTTCGACTCCACAAAGGATCCAGGTGAATTAACTGGCACCGACTTTCGTAGCTTGCTTAGTAGCTTAGTATTCTAACACCGACCGGACGAGGGATCAGTAAAGTGACTTCAAACAGTAGATGTCCGTGAAACTTTTAGCTATCCTGAAATTGAAGCCGAGCGTTCTGGATGCCTTGTCGATCACGTACGATATATGCTGGCTGTATGTGAGTTGACAATCTAAGATGACTCCCAGATCCTTAATGTGATTCACATGTTTCATGTTTCTTCCATGTGAACGTGATTACTGAACATTTGGTTGAATTTACAACCATGCGGTTCAGTTGGCACCAATTAGCAAAAGCGTTGAGTTGGAGTTGGAGAAGGTGGCAGTCAGCGATGGCTCGGATTCGGAGATAGATTTTCATGTCATCTGCGAACGACAGTCGTGGACCGTCGAGGACGAAATTGACGTCGTTGAAATACACAAGAAATATCAACGGGCCGAGGTGGCTACCTTGCGGAATACTCGACGTGGCAGGGAACGAAGGAGATCGGTAGTCGTCGATTGCAACTTCCAACTGACGATCAGATAGATAGGATGCGAACCATCGTAGGAGACTGCCGTTTATACCGAGCCTATCCAGTTTGGCGATCGCTATAGTATAGTTCAACTTGTCGAAGGCGACTGATAGGTCAGTGTAGATGACATCTGTTTGCATATGGTCTGTCATAGTCTCCGTAATGGACGAGGTGAGGCACAGAAGGTTGGAAGTAGTCGACCGCCCTGCCATGAAACCATGCTGGTCTTCGCTCAAGTGCTGCTTGAAGTGAGAGACTAACAGTTTAGATATGGCACACAGCGATGTGAAGCCGCGATAGTTGTCGATGTTTCTTTTGCATCCCTTCTCATGCACTGGAAACATCTCAGCTGATTTCCAGCAGAAAGCAAACACCCCACTGGAGAGGGACATTTCGAACAGAAGGCAGAGAGGAGCCACCAGGCTATCGATGCGTTGCTTGAGAAAGACGGAAGGAACTCCATCAGGTCTAGGCTTAAATGAAGACTTCAGTTGCGAAGCGGCCCTAGTTATCATAGCGAGGTCGATGTTGATTTGATAGATGACTGCTAGAGAAACGTGCTCGTCAGGTAGGTTCTCATCCGAGAATACACTTGCAAACTTGGTTGAGAACAGACGGCAAATGTCCTGAGGGGATGAAGCTTCTTCGCCGTTCAGTACCATAGTCGATGGAAGGCCAGTGGAGTCCTTTTGTTGCTCATTCACATAATTCTAAAAAGTTTTCGGGTGAGATCGAAGCTTCCGTTGAATATCTCGATGATAACGCCGATAACATTGGCGACTGGTTCGTTGATACGCATGATTGATCCTCGTATAATGGTCCTTGAGTTGTAGGGTGTCACTTGTTTACCAAGGATGATGATATCCTTGTTTAGGAACTTTTTTTCGGAACGTGTCGCTCAATGACGTAATAGCCAAAATATGCAAGAGCGTTTGGGCAGCTGCATTGACATCGATCGGCAGGGACGAGTATCCTGTGCCAGTCCAAATTCGAAAGAAGTTCCCCGATACTGTCGTGGTCAGCATTTCGGAAATCGTAGGAGACCTCAGGAATTTGGTTGCCTTCAAGTGCAATATCTAAAGGCGGATGGTGTGGAACAGTCTTTTTCAACGGAGAAACAGCCATAGACAAATGCGGAGCAGTATCCTGAGCGGTGACGAAGCAAAGGTCTAAGCTACAATTGTTCTCATTAACCACGTGGTTGATTTGCTTCAGAGCCACGATACTGTAATGATCCAAAAGGCTTACAGCTCCAGTGTGAAATGTAGAACGGTCGTGGTCCGGAATCCACCGTAAGACGATCGCCAAGAAATTGCCGGTAGATTGAAGTCGCCAATGATTATCATCTCGTCAGCAGCTGTAGCGATCTCCATTATAGCTCGAATAGACTGACTGTGGGATTCAATTAGCGTAGAGTCGCGAGTTCGATCCGTTCGATCCGGAGGAAAGTAAACTACACACAAAAACAAAGTCGGTCAGCGAGCTTAATGGCAATCCAAACTTGTTCCACACAATTCCATGAATTGTTTTCGATAGCGTTTGCCTTCAATCCAGAGCCGACCGCTATGAGAACGCTTCCACCAGTAGATTTGCGGCTGTTGTGCGGATTCCGATCGCATCGAAAAACCTCGTATTCGGAACCAAACACTTGATTTGACAATGTGCGAGTATCGAGCCAAGTCTCAGTGAGAGCGATGACGTCGAAGCAACGATCCGAAACCGCTAGGCGATAATCATCGATGTTGGAATTCATCCCACCAGCGTTCTGGTAATACATGCAGATGCAGATGGCCTAACTGTGACGATAAGTAGCCTGACGGGGGCTGCATTGCGATCTAGAATTGGCAACGACATCAGGCAGGGGATGTTTCAAGACAGATCTTGAACTATACTCGCCTGATTGGGAGATTCGGAAGACCTCCTCTCTGTTTCCGATCGCAGGGCCGGGCCGACTCCGATGAGCGATGTCAGCGGGAGGCGCGACTGCGTCGGAAGGACTGGGAGCTTCCAAAATACTGTCCACGGTGCGTCCCAGGGTCTAAGATTAAGAAGAAGATGAAACCGGCTGATGCGGAGTTGATTCCATGTTCCCATGACGTGCGTTTCCTTCGATAGGACATTCCTGTGCGCTGAAAATCAAACCGACTTCAGGCAGCGAATGATCAATGTTGAATTTATACTTGCCAGGCATAGCAAGTTCGAAGACCCCCGACCCACATCTAAACTCAGGACCGAGACGGCTGTGGTGAACGTTGGCATTCCAGGAAGAATGAAGCCCTAGAAGACCCCTTATCGAATGGAATGTGTTGCCAGAAAGATAACTGCGAATGCAAGACCGCCTGATTCTCGTGTCCGAGTGTCGTGCCAAGCAGGTCATAGCTGATTACAATCGGTTAGTTTTTTTGGAGAACGGTATTTGCCTGGGGCTAATTAGCTGGGTTTAAAGTAGGTACACCAACTGGCGAAGACATTAAGCTGAAGCTGAAACGTCTCGTCGATTCCAGGAGGCCACGAGTGAGGTGAGGGTAACTCGCTGTCACTAGTGAGGTATTCCCGTGTTGTTCAGCACTCATACACGGCGAATGAGAAGGTCCCAAATTTGAGTTTAGCTTACTCATAAATCACTTAAAGTGCAGGAACTCACCGATGAGTGAATTTGCCTCATGTTTTACCAGCTTTTTCCAGGTTTCTCCAGGAACAAATTCCCGAATATGCGAAAAGTAAAGATCGGATTCACTCAGTCTATTGGATTCACTCAGTCTATTGGTACTACTCGCCGTGTAGAGTGCCTGCAGCGACGGTTTCATAATAACAAGCTCGAACAGTTTCGAACCAGCATTCAAAGATGTAATTCAGTGAGCTCGTTTGCTTCACTTGTAGTGAATAGGAAACATGTGTGCAAATTTACAGCAGAGGGACATACGGAATAGACGATGAAGTGGAGTTAAGAAGCTTGCACTATGTCTCTTACAAAAATCCGGACGGAAGTCCATCGGATCCTGGGCCTTGGAGATCATCTCAACGGAGGCATCATTTGTAGCCAGTATTTGACCATCTAGTTACTGGTTGCAAGTGTAATAATGGTAGTCCCAGTGAACAAAAGGCGGCACATTCCTGCGGAGTGGATGCATCTTCACTGTTGAACTACATTGACGATAGGAGGCCCTGCGTTCATCGTTTCTGTGGTTCCAGACAGATGTTGGATGTAGTTTAAGTTTATCCTGAAAAATCGTTGAAATAGCAAAATGCTCTCTCGGTCGACGCAGCTCACTTGGGTAGATAACATAGTTCAGCGAAGCGATTTCCGATTTTGCTTAGCAAAGCGCGGAGCTACATTTTATACTCTCGAAGACTGCCCCTAAAAGCATAACTGTCCCATTTTTGCTTAACAGTTGCATGGGCAGACAAGTTCTCATGAATTGTGCTGAAAATCTCTCTAGGATCTCATGAATCTTTTTGTTTTTAAATATCTGACACGTTGGTAGCAATGATTAGTGATTAAGTAGTGAACTGATTAAAAAAAAAACAATTGTTCAGTTATGTGAACATAACCTCAACATGACAAATTTTATTTTTTATTTGACAAGAGTCAATCGCTTTACGGAAATTCCCTAAAACTTAATAAGAGTGCGACCGAATACTCGCGGTTTGCAACAGTTCAAAAACAAACAAAAATGTTTACAAACAATAGCTAACTCTGAGTGCCACGACCCAAGTTAAACAATCGAAACAAACTCAAGAAAAACTAGCAAATTTAAGTCCCTGCTTTCTACTGGTCCTTTCCGCGAAAGTGAACACCACAAAGAAGGTCACACATATCTGGTTGTTGGCGGCGTCTAAAGCAGAGAAACGACTGCGAAGACAAAATCGTACATACAATATAATTACCACATTGAAGTAAAAAGGAAGCAAATGAAAGAAGAGACAAAAACATTATAATTAATAATAACAGTTAGTGAAAACAAAATAAACAAAACAGAAAACAATGGATAACTCTGATACAAATGAAACGAAAAGAAACCGATAACGCGGCCACATCCGAATCGAAAGAGGGAGGATAACACAAATAAAAGAACAATGGAAATGATCCAAGAATCGTCGTTTGAGAAGAGGATGGAGATATCAGAAAATAAAGATTATTTTAAAAATTAACAATACTCACCTATTCCTTCCGAAAGAACCTCCAAACTGGGACCATTCTTCAAACTGGTCGTGGCAAAGATAACCCAACATCGCACCATTTCATTTTCACTACCGCACTAAAATTTGTGTCTTTATCTTTTATTGCGCGTCTCTTACAGACTAGACAAAAAAATGTTGGATATCTTGTTGTAAACTGATCAATTTTCGTTTCTTCAATTTCGTCCTCTTTAAAAGGGAGAACTTTTACTCTCTACGTGTTCTAACACATCTTTCATTGGTAAATATGTTCACATCTTGGATAATAGCTCAAAACGAAACTAGGTCCGCCATACACACTCAACGGGGGAGGAAAAAATAGGAAACACTGGGACTACGAGCTAAGCAGGAAGTTTAACAAATGCTCTCATTCCATCCCTCAAAGTTGGATCCGACCAAAAAAAAATAACTGTTTTGTAAAGTAGTTTCAATAGTTACCTGAATAATTATCCTCGATCGCTTACACACACACACACACACACACACAAACACATACTCTCTCTCTCTCTTTCTCTCGCATCGCAATCAAACACATACACAACCAGGATCAGAAAGCGGAGGATGGGAAAAACCGGGAAGACTCAGGAGGCGGGGCATCGTCATTTCGTCACAGCAGTAGCAGTCAAAGCAGTCTCTCGATCTCTCGGAATATGTGTACCACCTACTTTGCTTACTTGCGTTCAGAGGCCCTAGACGGGGACGAACTTCTCCAGCGCCTGGATGATGCCTTGCACCTCGGCCGTCGAGTCGCACGCCGCCGCCAGCGACACAATCCGGACGCCGTTGTTGTTGACCACTTCGAGGATGGACCGCTTCTCCAGCACCTTCAGGCAATTGCGGACCGTGTCGGTCGATATGCTTTCACCTGTTGCGGGGGAAAAGGGAGAGGAAACGGGTTTATTGTGAGTTCGAGAATGGTAGTTTTAATTTACTACAGAACAGCAAGTGTTAATTTTGTGCGTACATGAGGAGTGCTACATATGAAGCACTTATCTTTAAGGCCATCTTAACAAATTGACAATGGAGAAGGTGAGGGGCCAGCGTAATTTACCCACGATTTTTGTATTCGTTTTCATATGACTTTCATCATCGGCGTAATTTCGGGTAACTGTCCACAGACAGATCTGATAATCTAGGAAGGAATATTCACAGGGAGCACCACGGGGTTGGGTATATTTTGGAGATAGCTCTTTTGCACCTGGTAAGGCGGATAAAGTTATCTCCTAGGATACACACTTAATTCAGATCACCGAAGTCGGTAGGAATTTACCGGGTTTTTGAACAACAGAACAAGTCGGTAAAATTTTCAAATGACCGTTACACGTGAGATATCAATAAAATTTATAAATTTTATTTTTCATCAATAAATTGGGTGAACCGAACAAATTCTGTACAAGTTCAGAATAAATTTTCTAATAATTGGATTTTTCACTGATTTTTAAACTTTTACCGAACAGTTCTGTAGTTCAAAATTTACCGAACGATGGAGGCCTGGATTAGTGTGTAGGTCCGACGTTCAGAGTAGCTCGATTACAAGTTCTGAGGATTTCCAATTACACCTTTACCAGTGAGGAGCTCTAAGAACGAGTTCGAGGATTTACAAGGGAGTGTTAAAAAACATTTTAGTACTGATGTACGGGCGTATCCGGAAGCTTTTGAGGCCTGCTGAACTCTGAAAACTGATCTAAGAAATTTAGAGGTCTCAGGTCCAGAGAGCTCTTTGGATGAAGCCCAAATAAATCGAGGGAAAGTTCAGAGCACTTCGTGAGCAGATTTGATATTTTCTGATGAATACCGGAACAAGTTTCTGAAAGGGAAAGTTTGGAAGCCTATGGCGTTGAAACTTCAAAGCTGAATAAAAAAAAAGATCTTCGAGGACAGTGTTCAAGGAATTCTGGAGAATGACAAGAGTAGAATTGAAGCGATTTCAAAGAACTGTGTGCCCAAATTCGTTCTTTTGATTATATCATCTGTTGATTATATCCATTATGTACGGGAAGTCAACGGAACCTCACACACCCATTCTGTAGGAGAGGCTTTCTACAGACATCCTGTAGATTTCTCACGTAGTCCCTGGGGAGTTTTCCGCATATATTTTATCGACTTGCGGAGTTTTCATTCTGTGAATTTTCAACAAAATTTTCTGTGGAGTTGCCTATGGACTTTCGAAGAAGTCTTATAGGCTTTCCGCAGAAATTCTATGGACGTTCCACAGAAGTCTTGTTCCCAAACAAGTCCTGTGTATTTTCCACAGAATTTCTGTGAAATTTTCGCAGAAGTCCTTAGCGATTTCCACAGAAGTCCACTGGAATTCTTGCAGAAGTCTTATGGGCTTCCCATAAAAGTACTGTAAACTTTTAACAGAAGTCATATGCACTTTTCGTAGAAGACCTATAAATCGTGATGATTTCCTGCAGAAGTGCTATGTACTTCTAATAAACTTTCTGTCTACATCCCGGAGAAGTTCTGTGAACTTCTCCTAAAATGCATGTGGACTTAACGCAGAAGTTCAGTGGACTTTTCGCAGTAAACCAATGAAATTCCCGCTAAACTGCTGTGGACTTCCGCAAGATTTATGGACTTCTCGCAAAAGTCTTACGGAGTTGCCACAGAAGTCCTGTGGATTTTTCACAGAAGGTCTGTTTGTGCATCTCGCCGACGGTCTGTGGATTATCCACAGAAATCCTGCTGATTTCCCATATATGATCTGAGGAGTTGCCGTAGAAGTAATATGAACTCGTAGAAGTCCTTTAGACTTGCCGCAGAAATTCTAAGCACATTCCACATAATCCTTGTGGGTTTTTCAATGAAGTCCCCCAACCTGTGAACTAGACTTTCCAAAGAAGTTCTCTTGACATTTCGCAGTAGATCTTTGGATGTTGAACGGAAATCTTATGGACTTGTTCGCAGAAGTTCTGTGGGTTTTCACAGGTCTTATGGACACAAGTATTGTGGAGTTGTCATTGAAGGCCTGTGCGCTTTTCGCAGACGGCCTGTGGATTATCCACACATGTTATGAGGAGTTGCCATAGAAGTACTATAGACTTCTCGTAGAAGTCCTGTAGACTCCCCGCAGAAATTCTAAGCACATTCCACAGAATTCTTGTGGGCTTTTCAATGAAGTCCTTTAGATCACAACCTGTGAACTTTCCACAGAAGTCTTCTAGACTTTCCAAAGAAGTTCTCTTGACATTTCGCAGTAGATCTGTGGATTTTGAAGAGAAATCCTGTGGACTTGTTTGTAGAGGTTGGTTCTGTGGGCTTTCGCAGGTCTTATGGACAAAAGTATTATGGAGTGGCCACAGAAGTCTTTTGGACTTTTCACAGAAGGCCTGTGCGCATCTCACAGACGACTTGTGGATTATCCTCAGAAATCCTGTGGATTATCCATACATGTTCTGAGGAGTTGCCATAGACTGCTCATAGAAGTCAGACTTCCCGCAGAAATTCTAAGCCCATTCCACAGAATTCTTGTGGGCTTTTCAATGAAGTAATATAGACTTCCCACAACCTGCGAACTTTCCACAAAAGTCTTCAAGATTTTCCAAAGAAGTTTTCTGGGCATTTCGCAGTAGATCTGTGGATTTTGACAGAAATCCTGTGGACTTGTTCGTAGAAGTTCTGTGGGCTTTCGCAGGTCTCATGGACAAAAGTCTTATGGAGTTGCCACAGAAGTCTTGTGGACTTTTCACAAAAGGCCTGCTTGCGCATCTCGCAGACGGCCTGTGGATTAACCAAAGAAATTCTGTGGATGTCCCATATATCTTCTGAGGAGTTGCCATAGAAGTACTATGGACTTCTCGTAGAAGTCCTGTAGACTTCCCGCAGAAATTTTAAGTACATTCCACAGAATTCTTGTGGGCTTTCAATGAACTCCTGTAGACTTCCCACAACCTGTGTGGACTTTCCACAGAAGTTCCTGTGGACTTCTGGAACCTGGAATTCTATAGATTTTTCAGAGAAATCTTGTAAACTGTTCGCAGAAGTCTTGTGATTTTTTCACAGAAGTTCGGTGTACTTTTCTCAGAATTCCTGTGGACTCCTCGTAGAAGGTCCACAAAAGTCTTACGATTTGTCTCAGAAATCCTGTGGACTTTTCACAGAAATCTAATGGACTTTTAACAGAAGTCATGTAGACTTTTCGCTGAAGGCCAGTGGATTACCTACAAAAATCCCGATGAGTTCTTGCAGAAGTCCTGTGAATTTTCCACATACGTCCTGTCAACATTTCGCCAGAAGTTGTGCGATCTTCCTTAATTATGTATGTGGACTTAACGCAGAAGTTCAGCGGTGTTTCCACAGAAGTGCAGTAGACTTCGCAGAAGGCTTGTGAACTTCCCAGAAAAAAACTCTAGATCATCTTGTGGACTATTTCATAAGTCCAATATAGGATTTCCACAAAAGTACTGCAGACTTCTCACAGAAATCCTGATGAAATTCTGCAGAAGTCTTAAATACGTCTCACTCAAGTCCCGTCAACTTCCCGCAGAAGTTCTGGCTTCAGAATTTCTAAGAGCTTTCCCCAGAAGTGTAAACATCTCCTGCGGGAAGTGCTCATTGCACTTCTGAGGACTTCTCTCAGAAATTCTGTGGCGTTTCCACTTCGAGACTGTTTGTGGAATTTCTGCAGAAGTCCTGTGGACATTCAACAAAAATCTTGTTCATTTTGCGCAGAATCTCTGTAGACGTCCCACCGAAGCCCTGTGGATTTCTGACAGAATTCTGGGTAGGCTTCCCACTGACGTCCTGTGGGCTCAGAAGTTCTATGAGCTTTTCGCAGAAGTTCTGTCGACTTTTCGAGTCACGTGAGCTCTAGGGCACATTAAGTTGACTTAAATGCCATGTCCTGAGGATGAGGTGGACCCCCTTATATACTATCTCTCACCGGTGAGGTGACAATTCAAGGGAAACATGTCAGAAGGCTCTAACTCAAAACATAAACAATGAATTGGATCGTCGGTTTCTTACGAATGACAATACACCCATTAAAACTAACTAAATCATCTGACAGAGAAATGTTTTTTCTATGAGCTGGTGTAGTTAGATTCCGTGAGTGTTTGGTCATTCAAGAGAAATCGACTTTTAAAGTCATTGTTTACGTTTCGAGTTATACCCTTCTGACATGTTTCCCCTGAATTGTCACCTCGTGTGAGATGACTCGCAATTTGATTTGCACGGAGTCATCTCACACGAATCAAGTGAGACTCACAGAATAAGGGGGTCCACTTCATCCTCAGGACATGGCGTTTAAGTCAACTTAATTTGCCCTAGAGCTCCTCAGGGCATACGTATTCAAGGCATCTGAGCTAGTCTTTGAAGACAAACAGCTTTGCTATCGGGAATTTTCAGACATACCTCAGAGGTCCTTCAGGCTCGTCTAATGTAATCCTTTTTTGTATTTACTTTTGAAGCAATAGAAAGAGTATAGAGTAACCCTTGAGGTGAACTTGACTTACCAATTTATCAGAGAAATTCTTAAAATTTTCAGATCTTCTAGACTTGCCAGTCGTCTATTCTTGTATTACAGAATGGGGAACTTCTAACTTTTGAGGACTTAATTACCACTTGTCCTTATAAATTTTTGAGATACCATAAACTTGATTAGAGGTTTGACATGAAATACATATTAGATTCACGAGTAAAACCATAAATATTGAACGTGATAATTAGTTCAGTGTTCCTCCACTGCACGCACAGTGGTCTAGAAGAGCGAATTTCAGGACAAAAATAAAAATTACATGAAGGTGAAGTTTAATCAATTTGGTGTCTTCAGAAAACATTTTAATCGAAAGAAGGCGCATGTCTTCAAAAAACATTTTAATCGAAAGAAGGCGCATTTGATGAAGGGCTCGTCCATAAATTATACTCATGGGGACACTACTTGTAAATTCTAACTTTGTTGATTGACGATTTTCGATATTGAAATATTCTACAAAATTGTAGACCTTATCATTTCCATAAACTTTGCTGAAGTCACACATTTTCTAGCATATCATTTTCATTGAGATATGGAAACATTATTTATGGAAGCCACCTTAGTATCGATTTTTCGACTTGAACTTTTCTTCTTCATGCACTTTTTTTTAATATTTTCCCGAATTTCGCCCTTCTGATGCAAATTTTCAACCCTTTATCCCAACCGTTAAAAACTGCCAAATACACCTACCATACTTGCACTCGCCCATCTCGACCCGGGTGCTAATCTCCTTGATGCACTGCCGAATGAATTCCCCTTCGACCATCGAGTTACCGCCGATCAGGTGGTTTAAACTGTACGCCACGGCCGCGTAGGTGTTGGTGAACGGAGCCAGCACCGATTGGAGCACTATCCGGTTGCAGTGCTTCTCGGCCGGCAGGAACACCCGAACCTCATCTTCCTGGGCGTTATCGTCGAAGTAGTCGTCCTCGCTGCTGGCATCGTTCAGCTCGTTCATCTCCAGATGGGCCGCTAGGCGCCGAGCCCGATTCTGATCCTCGGTGTACTCGACCTAGAAGTAGAGTTTTGTAACATTTCCGCCGATTAAATGTCCGTTCTCGTTGCCTACCTCCGGTTGCGATAGCAGTTCGCTGATGCACAGCCTATCGAAGCTGTCCTGCAGTAGCATTTCCAGACTTTGGCACGGTTTCGACAGGATGAACTCGTACATCAGCAGATCACAGAAATCGAGACACGTGTAGAATAGCTCCTGCCGTCCAATACTGACATCTTCGGTGGATTTCTGTTGCTCCCGGAGCCTGTGTTCCGCTTCCCGTTTGAGCAAACTGGCAACGGTGATTACGATCGAATCCAGTGCAAAGTGCGGAACCAAGCTGTTCGAATAGTACGCCAGCTCTATCACATTGGGAATCATGGTGACGGGTTTGATGAACAGCTGGGTGCCTCGCTTTTCCTTCGTTACCAGTCCGGGACCCAACAGGTCGGCGGCGTACTTGACGATGTCTTCGGAGGCACCGGTGAAGCCGAGATCGCGGGAGGTAGAATTCAGGATACATCGCAGCTCGTCCAGGGCTTCGGTGAGCATCGACAGGGGTGCTCCATCGCGGAAGCGATTCAGTAGCAGGAAGGCCAGGGCATTGGTGGTCATCACCGAGGTAGCTTTGGCGCAGTCGTACACCACGTGGCGGGCTATGTTGTCGACCAGGGTGCGGAGTTCCTGCTCCTCCTGGACGACGTCCGTGCCGAACAGGGACGACGAGGATGGTTTGTGCTGGAGGCGTCTGTTGGAGGGAGAGAGAGAAGATCGCTGTGTTAGTCACTAGCTTTGATAGACGTTCCTCGATTGGTTAGCATTTGAAAGACTTCCAAAACTCCCATAGGGGTCCCTTGAACTAGTTTCGTTGAAATTCAACGCAACTGAGAGAAGTCTCAGCAAATTTGAGCAAAAATGTGAATCACTGCAAAGTTTCATGCGAATCGGAGAACGTCGAGTTTTTCCGATAAATCCACTTCAGAAGTTCAAAGAGTAAAAGTGAATAATGAGAAAGATAAAGTTGGTTGTATTTTGAAATTCTTGAGAAGGTTCCTTGGTTAAAATGGCTTTTAAAAACACCAAAATGCATTTAACAACGTCAAAATGATCCTTAAAACTGCTACGTGGTTTTAGAAGCGCCAGAATGTCCGAACTTGCGTTGGCAATGCCAACAATGGCTTTAATAACTCTAAAATATCCTTATTAGGGTACCAATGAACTGTATGGGAAAAAAAGATCATCGATTTTTTCAAACCAACCAGAGATGAAAAAAGGTCAAACTTTGACGATTTTGCGCCACCCAAATCATGTCCGATTGAGTTCGAGACAATGACAATTTTATATATGGTTGACCTATTTTTTTTTTCATTAGCGCCCTAATCCTAATAATCACCTATATCGTCTAAATACGTACAACTAGCCTTCAGAACGCCAAAACATGCCTAAAGTTGAATGATTAAACAGTCTTATACCACCGAAACGCACTCCTATAAATGCCGAAAGTGGCTTTAGAAACGCAAACATGGCACCCTCTGTAAACATCTTCAACTTAACCAAGAAGTCAATTGATCTGTACCTAGAACACCCTTTGAAACTATTGCACGAATGTAAATTCCTGTAAGTCCTGAATCTACTAACCTGGTTTCCGGTCCACCAAAGTTGCCGCCGATTTCCGACTTGCGCAGCGACTTGACCAGCTCGCTCAGCGAGAACGGTTCGTTGAAATCGATCCGCATCAGACCGTAGCGGGCCTTCAGGATCTTTATGATGGCCGCCACTGCCGATGAGAAGCTTTCCGGAACCTTCTTCTGGCCCAGTTGTTCCCGCACAAAGTTTCCGTCGACCAGCTTTTCGTAGTTGATCGACACCGGCACTATCAGCGCGTCGGAGATGCTCTTATCGTTGAAGGCGTCCACGATGACGGACAGGATTCCACTCTACGATTAATCGAGAAAGTTAGCAACAATCGTCGTAGATAGGGAAATTAGCCAACAAATTTACCTTCGGCATGCAGGGTTTGCCGGTTCTGGTGCGTCCACCCTCGATGAAAAACTCCACATTATGCCCGGCGGTCAGAACCTTCTGCACGTACGTGTGCAAAATGGCCCGATAGACGTGATCCTTCTTCCCGGTTAGTGGATCGATTTTTCGCTTAATGAAGAACGCTCCGTCATACCGGAGGATGTTGCCGAAAACGGGAATCCGCAGATTGTCACCACCGGCCACCAGCGGGCAGCGGATGTCGTGATTGAGCAGGATGAAACTAACCATGATGTAGTCCAGATGTGACCGATGCAACGGCAGGAAGATCAATGGAGCGTCCGGATTTTTGGCGATCGCACGCTTGATCATCTCCACCTGACCGGGATGGGCTGCCACTCCGGACAGGAAGCACGGGAGCAATTTATACAACACCCAGGATGTAATTCGCAGCACCATATCCGACAGTTTCGAACGCATTCCGATCAGAACCTACATCAATGAAGATCATTTTTAACATTCCGCCCCACTCAACTACCAATCGACGCCTTACCCTGTTAGCTCTCTTTTCGTTCGTCCGCATCACTTCGTTGTAGTAAGTGTCTTCATCGAACGAATCGTCGCTCTCGCCGGCAGCCAGCAGCTCCTGTCGCTTTTCGTTGACCGACTCCTTAGCTGCCATTTCCAATGCCTGCTGAACCCGTTCCTCGCCCAGTACAGCTCCGGCCACTTGTGGATAGTCGTACTTCATCAACCGGGTGGCCTGTGCCAAATGGGGACACCAGACGCCCCAATCCGTCGGGGAGCTGTCCGTACGACGGCCGGCATGCGTCGTAACTCGAAGGATATCGATGGCATTCCGCCGGCGGTCCACCTGATCCAGCTGCGGTTGCTGCAAGTGATAAATATTGAGATTAGATAAGACACTAGCCTTTCTCTCTAGTAGAAGGTACCCATCCACCACCAAAACGATAGCCACGATCGACACTGAAGACACTACTGAAAAACATTTTTTTTTCTCCACCAAGTGTAGCACGTTACGTCACCGGAGAGTCACAGAACATAGAACAGTCAGCTGTGTGCGAGCTGGATCGAAAGGTATCTAAAGAAAATTTAACCACTTCACCGAACGGAAAGTGAGATGAAAATTCATCTCGTCGGGAAATTTTCCCACGATCAACACGCGATGATGGTTAGTAGTTTATTAATACTTTTAAATTTGCTTGGGCGCCGAATGGACACGGGAGCATCGCATACAAACAGAATAAAACGTGGATAGAGAGTAGATAGTGGAACGCGTGACGCACTATAGTTAGAAGGCTGTGGTGAGTACTAACCACAGGTAGGCAAGCATCGGTCGAGCTTCGACTAGGTAAATGGCGACTAACTAAGGTAACTGATTCTCTCGGACGACGACGACGACTAAGACGACGACGGGAGATAACGTTCTCCGAGAGCAACTGCTGCGAATTGTCTAGGTACATGTGTGCTTTTCAACTAACTGCGAAGCGCAGAAGATGTTTGATATTTGTTATTCATTCGGCTTTATTCAGTGCGGGTGTTATGCGCAGAATGGCATTTGAATGTACAGTCAATTCCTATTTACTCGGTACTATCCAACTGAATGCAAATGTTGGATTATGGCGATCAATTATCCAACACCTCCGTAGCTCGATCACCGATGAACCGTGGGCAAACGAATTGCTCCTGTGGCATGTCGGTTCGTCGGTGGCTCGATGACCCCCAGTCGAGTTAGGGAGAGTTAACTGTATCCAATTTGTTTTGCTTGACGATAATAGATATGGCAAACACGTGCTGTGGTAGGTATTTCAGCGGTAAAAGTTCGCGTAGTTTTGTACAATCATACACTGCCTTTAATTGCATATCAGTCCCATATGGATTTGCGACAATTTTAAGATAACAACGTTTTCCACTATCAATTGGCATCTACTTTCATATTATGTTATAAAATTTCGTACTTCGATCATGAAAAATGTGAAAACCACATCAAGTCAGTTTGTCCCATTCGGAAAAGTAATCGCGTATCAGGCCCACCTTGAAATTCGATCGTCCAGAGGTCAAGTTACAGTTATGCTTGTTGGATCGCCTAATTTTTCGCTGATATAACAAAACATGCTTGCGTGAAGCCAAGGTGAATTCAACTTGAAAAAATATCAATTAATTTATTATGATTTTTCATATATTAACATGGCAATTGCACTTTGTAATTTCAACTGCCATTTTCTCAATGCCTACTTTTTTCCATATGGGACTGATTTTGGGATTATAGGCAGTACAGGAATACCCCGAATAGCGCGCGTTGGGTGGTTCCGTCCACCCACCGCAATTTCACGGTTGTTTTCCAACAAATTGAGTTGATTTTCTGCGGGTACCAACTTTAAGGTTGGCCCTAATCACATACAAAAAATCAGCTCAATTGGATAGAGGACAGTCGATTAATTTACGATGGGTGAACGGCACCACCCAACGCACTATTCGGAGGATTCCTGTATACTGAAATACTGGCCAAACTTTGGGACGGGACTTGACAATCGGGTAGCGATTTCGAGCCAATTTGCTGTCAAATCCTGGGGGGACGTGCTGTCAAATCAGCCTACTGATCATTCTTGTATGAAACTGGTTCCAAACGTAAACAAACGCTCTAGGTTTCTTATGGCTTGTTTACGTTTGGAACCAGTTATGTGAGGTAGGCAACGATTGTTCGTATTTGACAGCCACCTCCCCCCCTCGGTCAAATCTGATTCAGTTTCAGATTGGTCGATTTGACAGTAGCAATCGTGGAATATAAAATATAGAGGGATCGCCTCAATCTGGCTGGCAGGGATGCCGGAATCAATGTTGACGTTAATGGCGTTGTTTTTTTTTATAATTACTTTATTTGTACAGGCTCAATCGAATAAACTTTACAGAGCCGAGTTATCCTTTGTGTTATACATTATTACTGTCTTAAATTTAAAGTTAAAGGAACTGGACCGAGTACTCGCGGTTGTCTCGAGGTTAGTGGAGATTTACAATTTTTTGGATGGGAAAAGGGAAGAAGGAGGTTTGAAATGTGGTTTACGATACAACTATTTAATTAATCCTAAAGCATGAAATTATTTCTATTCATCTTGAAAACAAACATTGAAAAAAAAAACCCACACGTACAAAATACAAACTAAGCACAAGGTTAATCAAACTTACAATCTAAGGTTAATATCCTTAAAGTAAACATATATGAGTTTCATAAACTCCAGATCGCGTCTAGCCAAAATATCCCGAACTGGAACGTTAGGTTGTCTACCTCGAGCCCGAAGGGAATCATAAAAATGTGATCTGACCCCACGATACTCCGCACAAGACCAAAGGATGTGATCAGCGTCCTGGTAACCTTGTCCACATTCACAGAGATTGCTGTCTCCCAACCCCACACGGAACAAGTGAGCGTTTAGACAATAGTGATTGGACATGAGACGAGACATCACGCGTATGAAGTCTCGACTCAAGTCCAACCCTTTGAACCATGCAAACTTCGACACCTTAGGGATAATTGAATGTAGCCATCGTCCCAAGCTCCCTTCACTCCATTGATGTTGCCAGCTAACGAGCGACTGCTGACGATAAATAGAAAAAAATTCACTATAGGCGATCTGTCGATCATAAATGTCACCTTCCATAGCGCCCACCTTCGCAAGTGAATCCGCCTTCTCATTGCCCAAAATTGAGCAATGCGAAGGGACCCACGCGAAGGTGATGATGAAAGAGCGCACGGATAAAGTACTAAGCAGTTCTCGTATTTTCAAGAGAAAATACGAGAAGTGCTTTACCGGCCTAATGGAACGGATAGCCTCGACAGAACTGAGACTATCCTTAAAAATAAAGTAGTGGTCTGGAAGAAGTGAAGCAATAGTTTCCAAAGTGTAGTGAATTGCTGCCAGTTCAGCCACATACACAGAACAAGGAGCTTCAAGTTTTCGAGAGGCGCTATGAAATTCATTAAATACACCAAAACCAGCGGACTCCTCTATTAGAGATCCATCTGTGAAAAACGTTCTTGCAGAATCAACATGGCCAAACTTTGCAGCGTATAATGACGGAGCAATCATAGGACGATGATGCTCTGGAATTCCGCGGATTTCCTGCGTCATAGATAAATCAAAATTCACTGAATTGCCGAAATCGGAGAAGACTACACGATTGGGAATATTTCTTGAAGGGCTGACATCCTGTGTTAAATATAGGTAGTACAAAGTCATAAAACATGTTTGAGGATTTAGCTCAAGAAGCTTCTCAAAATTTTCGATCACCAGTGGGTTCATTACTTCGCAACGGGTGAGGAGCCTCAGAGATAACTCTGAAAAACGGACGGATAGTGGCAACATGCCCGCCAGCACTTCGAGACTCATAGTATGAGTCGAGTGCATGCATCTTAACGCGATACGAAGACAACGATACTGGATCCGTTCCAGCTTGATGATGTGCGTTTTAGCTGCCGACTGGAAGCAAAAACTACCGTACTCTAAAACCGATAAAATCGTTGTCCGGTACAACGTCAGAAGATCTTGTGGATGGGCTCCCCACCACGTTCCGGTAATTGATCGAAGGAAATTGATCCTTAGTTGGCATTTTCGTCTCAGATACTCAATGTGGGATCTCCAGGTGCATTTGGAATCGAACCAGACCCCAAGATATTTAAAGGACATGGAATGAGTGATCGGTTTACCCAAAAGTTGAAGCTTCGGTTGTGCTGGGCTATGCTTCCTAGAAAAAACGACCAACTCAGTTTTCTCCGTGGAGAATTCGATACCTAGCTGAATAGCCCAAGTAGACAAATTGTCCAAGGTATCCTGTAAGGGTCCTTGCAGGTCAACCTCTTTTGGCCCTGTGATAGACACTACGCCGTCATCTGCAAGTTGTCTCAACGTGCAATTGTCACTAAGACAATTGTCAATTCTCTAACGTAGAAATTGTACAACAGGGGGCTTAAACATGAGCCTTGGGGGAGACCCATGTAGCTAAATCGAAAAGCTGTAGAGTTTCCATGAGAAAAGCTCATATGTTTTTCTGACAGCAAATTGCACAAAAAATTATTCATAAATGGAGACAATCCACAAACGTGGAGTTTCTCTGAAAGAACTTCAACGGATACTGAATCAAAAGCCCCCTTGATATCCAAGAACACAGAAGCCATTTGCTCTTTCTTAGCAAAAGCCAACTGAATTTCCGAGGAAAGCAACGCGAGACAGTCGTTCGTTCCCTTACCCCTACGGAAACCAAATTGAGTATCTGAAAGAAGGTGGTTCGTCTCAACCCATTTGTCGAGGCGAAAAAGGATCATTTTCTCCATCAATTTCCGAATACACGACAGCATCGCGATGGGCCGATACGAATTGTGATCCGACGCGGGTTTATCAGGCTTTTTAATGGCTATCACCCTTACTCGTCTCCAATCGTCGGGAACAATATTGAGCTCCAAGAACTGATTGTACAAGTTCAACATGCGCCTCTTAGCGACGTCTGGGAGGTTTTTCAGCAAGTTGAACTTGATTCTATCAGATCCCGGGGCAGAATTGCCACACGAAAGGAGAGCGAGTGAAAGTTCCACCATTGAAAAAGGCTGACTGATTTCGTCTACCGAATTCGCGGTTCCGCGAGGAATCAACTGCGACGGCACGGAATCCGGACACACTTTTCGCGCGAATTTAAGAATCCATTGATCCGAGCATTCCTCGCTTTCGTTGTTAGTAGACCGGTTACGCATTCTTCGCGCCGTACTCCAAAGCGTATTCATAGACGTTTCGCGCGGCCAGTAACCCCGTTTTTTGGATTGATGAGGCTCTTGAGTTCGCGTTCAAGAGATGTGTATGCGTTGAAATGCTCGCGTGTTCCGCG